AATCCTCAAGGACCCAAGGACCTACATTACTTTCGAATCAAACACAACATGCTTTCAGACTGCTTAATACATATATATTGTTACTTTAATAGGCCTACAAAGTTAGTCTACATGTGACCCTAACTTTAGTTGACAATTTGCATGCCTTCGCCTCACCCCATCAAAACATAATGTAGCGAAATCATAAATGAAATATTGTCAGGTTTCTATTGTCACCTAGCAATAGTTATTTATCTTCATACAAATACATCTACTGATTCACCATATCACTTGAATGTACACCTACCAATGCAACGCCAATGAAAAAACATATCGTTTTTGTAAAATTCCGAATGCTTCTACACGCCGCCATTTTGTCTGTCATATGATCAATCACGTGTTCTCTTCACGGCCTTCGATATGTCACATAACCCAAAGCAGTGCAATGTCCGGAGCACTCGTGAACTTATGAACTCGACCAACTCAGGCTATATTCCATTTTTACGGATTTTGTTACTGAAGCATTTGGTCGGTCGGTCGAAATAAAACAAATTCCATTCAACGTTGTGTTTAGGGGTTTGGATGGTAGGTCGAAATAAGAAAAAAATAAGGTCAGTAAACCGAGGGAATAAATGAATGGCCTGACTATGTATCTATAATTCTTGTGACGCCTCTCTATTGTAATATTTCCCACGAATAAGTTCAGTCAAAATAGCTGAACCCCCTTATTACCATTAACTATTATATAACTAGTGTGTCCTCTTTCAGCAGGGGTTAGACGCATTCACCGTGTCCACGGGGGGTACCCGGACTGCAGGGGTTAGACGCATTCACCGTGTCCACGGGGGGTACCCGGACTGCAGGGGTTAGACGCATTCACCGTGTCCACGGGGGGTACCCGGACTGTCCTCGGCTTCTTTCCGGATTTCCCCTATTTTAATTGAGAAACTTTTTATTCAAATTTACTCCAGGGCTCAAAAACGAAAACAGACAAAAAGCATGATAGGACGAATGACCATCCCAAGTTGAACAAAACAATAAGTGGAATGAGAGAGCATTTTAACATAAGACATGGTTTTCTTTTTCAGCTTGAAGACGCTTGTAGCGACCAGAACTGGGATACGACCAGAATCGGATATGCCGTCATTTGGAAATACCCCTGATTTTTATAGTTTAATAAAAAAACAAAGTATCCATGCAGTGAAAGGATTTTCGGATTGCGTCGAAAATACGATTACTACTCCCTTGTTGTCATCCACGTTTTCTGGTATAACCCTACACTTGTGTATTTGTCGTCATTCACTTGATGCTCAGTTAATGAATTTATTACAGGTATAATTAGTGGTAGCACCACTCAGAATACCTGTCAAAGGTTCCCATTTGGCATTTATTGTGTCTGGGATAATTATTCAATCTAAATCCAGGTTTGAGATGAGGTGAAATGTGTGTTTTGTAATATGCACGTGGCAGCCGAGCAAGAGATGAAAGATCAGTTGATTTACTTTTTTTGTAAATCAACGGATCGTTCCTAGTCATCAAATGATTAACAGAAAATACGTTGATTGATTAATCGCTGTTATCTTGCACAGTGGATAATATGTCAAAAGTGAGTGTTTACGTGTCTAGGTTTACTAAAGCAAAGGGAATACACTCATATCATGGCTTGAAGTGTCGATGGAAAGACATCAGGCTTTGTTCAAAGGGTTAACCGATAATACGTTGATTGATCATTGTTATCTAACTCAATGGATTTTTTTTGGAACCGTCGACGTTATGAAAATAGTTGTCACGTGGGCTTTCTCAGCCGACCTTTGAGACTTGACACCTATGTGAAACACCTGAAATAATCTGAGTGATCAGTTGAGAAACGAACACGGGTTATAATATCCCGAAACGATGTATATATATTTTAAAATATTTGATTGTTACAGAGACACGTGACATCGAATAGGTTTCTTTGTACAGCTGCAGATGTGTGGGATATTTTTCCTTTGTGTGGATATTCACGGCTACATTCCTCGGACAAGGAAGCTGCCTAAAATTATACACATAAATTTGGTAGGTTGTAATTAGGATATTTGCATTTTGTTTTCATTCATTTGCTGTAGCATTTGACAGATTCATTCTTGTTCCTCTACGTCTTGGTTGGGAAATTCTTCGATGCGCAATAGACGTTGTTTTCACAAGTCTTTTTCTTCGTAAGCGCGTATATTGGAATTCGTTGTCATAATAATACAGATGGACATATTTTTCAGTCAATTTTTAAAATAACTGAAAATTCAGGCGTTTGATAAATTTCCTAAGTGAAAATTTTGCACATTTTAACTATAAAAAATATAAACACGATAAAATAAGCAATGCTCAGGAAAAATATTTACTTTGTGTTGCAAGTCAAAATAGTGTAAACGAAAATCGCACAATTACTAAGCAAATGACTTACCAAAACTTCGTCACCATTACCGATGCTACCCACAAAGATACCTACATTTCCTTATTATTTCCAAAACTGTATTTCATTTTGTTGATCAATGTGACCATACGCCATCTCTACTATCAATAAAAGTGACAAATGCGCTTACGAAGTGCGCAGCACAGGCCGCGAACTAGTCTAGGTTTCTGCTATATTATCCGGGTACTCACGGGAAACGGGTAAACATTCCAAAACCAACCCAAAACCAGGAACCACAATTTCAATATAACAAGGCCGACTGGGACAAATTTCAGGAAATCTGCAACCAAGCTAACCTTGCTGACCTAGAAAGTAACAACCCCGAGATTTACTGCAAAAATCTAACAGACTATATAATTAACGCAGCCCAAAACTCTATCCCTTTCAAAACAACCAAAATATGCAAAACTTCGGTACCATGGTGGAACTAAGAAATAGAACAAACCAGGAGAAAACGTAAAACCGCATTTAATAGAGCCAAACGTATCTCTAAAAATACCTTATTATCACAATACATATCACTAATTCGATCTAAATTAGACTACGGTAGCGCCATATACAACACATTAAACAATTCTCTAAACAAGCAACTAAACTCAATCCAGTATCAGGCCTTAAAACTAATCGCCCTAACACATTAAGGCAACTCTAGCACCTCACTCCAGGCTTGAACAGGAGAAATCCCACTAGAATTCTGAAGGGAACAACTAACCCTAAACTTCTGGGCCGCATCCCAATCAAACTCCCTAACCAAGACATCTTAAAAAACAACATAAGCCCCCCCCAAAAAAACAAAAAAAAAACAACAACAACAACAAAAAAACAAAACAAAATAAAACAACAACAAAAAACAAAAAACAAACAAGCGTTAGCCCGGAAAAAAACCCACTACTGACCCCAATATCACAATATTACAAAGAACACAAATACACAAACTAAATAATCTAAGTCAAAACACCAAACCTTCAAATATCTACACCCCAAAACTTCCAATTCCAAAAATAGACAACACTCGCCGACACACTAAATAAACAAAACGACCCCAACATCGCTAAAACCACCACATTAGCATACATGCACGAGAAATACCTTGGTATGATTAGGCGATAAATATATTGTGTTTTCAATATAGAGTGAGCTTACGTGTAGATTTAACTGAAAGAAAAATGTGAAAATATTATTTTAATGTACCTATTCCAAGTATAATGTCTATGTCTTGATATAATGCGGTACATGGATTAATCTTGTGAAAGTACGGTCAGACGTACATAGACGAGTCAGAAATATTCCTTTGAGATAAATGTCTATTCTGTAATAAAGACATCCTTTCCATAATATGATTCTTTGTCATGGGAAAACTGTATTCATTATAACATGTTATTTCCTAGAAAGAGAATAACTGATGTCATGTAATTCTCCTTTCATGAAATTTAAACGTACAAAATCTTGAAAAATCAACTTTAACTGTTCTTAGGGTTCATATGCGTTATGAGAAAGACATTTGTAGAAATATTATTATGTTTTCCTGATATCTGTATTTGTCTTTAATTTTGCTCCACTGCTCGGGGAACAAATAAACCGCATTTGAGCAGAACCTTGTACGTGGATAAGTGCGGTATATACATGTATAATAATATTAATAATAAGCCTTTCGGCTCGGAGCCCTAATAAGAATATTGTTGTTGTTGTTTAACACCGCATTCAGCAATATTCCAGCTCTATGGCGGCGGTCTGTAAATAATCGAGTCTGGACCAGACAATCCAGTGATTGACATCATAAGCATCGATCCACGCAAATAGTTGTTATCATCATCATCATCATCATCATCATTATTATTATGTTAGTAAAATAGTACTTTTTACTGTCTGAGCATGACAGAGGGCTTATTATTTTCATAGTTGCTGAGGTTGTTACAGGAAACAGTTTTGTGTACATTTGAGCATCCAGCGATAAAAAATATGATAATACCTGGATAAGTGCGGTATATAAATGTATAATAATAATAGTAGTAGTGGTAGTAGTAGTTGTCGTTGTCGTCGTTAACATCATCATCATCATCATCATCATCATGTCTGAGCATGGGAGTAGGAGATCCTAATCAACCCACAGGAGTGCTAATTATGTTCATAGTTGCTGAGGTTGTTTCAGGAAACACAGTTTTGTGATAGAGCATGTGAGCATCCAGCGATAACAAGCATGAAATACTCATTTCCCCCGCCAATATGACATGTCCGGCTGTGTGCAAGGTAAGAAATGTTGTACGGTTTTCAAGTTTTGCTCCGGAAAGGAGCACTACCGACAATTTTCAAAGTCGATTTTTTAATAATTTTTTTTCAAATCCCAAACCATCAAAAGGCACCAGTTCACCACTAGATCTATCTATGTGCCAAGTTAGGTTAAGATATCTCTCATGGTTTTTTTAGTTCTGCTTCGGAAACGAGACGTGACGGACGGACGAAAGGACTGACGGACATCACCCATTCCTATACCCCCTTCCATTTCGTGGCGGATGATAATAACGGTAGTTTTTACAAGCAGCCCATTCAAATCAGCATTCCGTGAAAGAGAAAAGACCAGATTTTACCCACTTTATTTTCAAATAATGGTGTAATAAACAACATGATTTGTTATTGAAAGATGATATCACAAACAAAGCATAAGAAATACTTCTTTTTTTTCAAATGGAGTATTGACAATCCTAAAGTTAACTTGCCCCAGACAAGAATACTGTCAGATTTTCATAAGGACTCATATGCTGGATGCAGTTTTTTTTGTCGCCATGGCTAGTGGCGTGTTTTTTTAAACGCGTGCAGCGAATTGTCCAGGAAACACCCGGGCTTCCAATCCCTTGGAACAACGTTTTTCAGCCAATCACACAGCAGCTCACACTCCTATTCGGTTTACAATAAGTAATAACACCTCTAATCCCATGTGTCAGTTAATCAGGACTAAATACACGATCTTCTTCATAACCCCGCTACATGGAAGATAACGCGCTGTCAAACTGTACAATGGTTGCCATGTCTTATGCTACAACAGTCGGGCGGGGGAAGTAGGACAGAACGTTGCACAAGATTCTAAAAAGAGGGTTAATATAATGCAAAAAATATACTTTTAAAATAGACACACCTTGAAGAATATTTTGTTTTTGGCATGCTCTACATATCTTCTTCGTTCTGTTACGCAGCTTACAGATTACTTACCATATTGCTCCTGCCTGTAGAGGTGGGGGTGTTCAGTAATTAATGTGTTGTAGGTTCATGCCATTAAATGAGTCATTATGACACGTATTAGTCGGGTAGCTTTATTAAAAAAATCTCCCCCTGTTCTGTACAAATAACTTATTTGTTGTATGTATTATTTACATCTTTCAAAAGATATTTACTGGCATTCAAACACTTATGCCCCCTAGAGACTGTATTATGTACATCACAATGTGTTATCACAGACAGCTGCGGAACGTCCAGTTGCCTAACAACGGAGTCGGTTAACTAGCATACACCAGTGGCTAATGGTGGAGTCGGTTAACAAGCATACACTAGTGGCTAATGGTGGAGTCGGTTAACAAGCATACACTAATGGCTAATGGTGGAGTCGGTTAACTAGCATACATCAGTGGCTAATGGTGGAGTCGGCTAACAAGCATACACCAGTGGCTAATGGTGGAGTCGGTTAACTAGCATACACTAGTGGCTAATGGTGGAGTCGGTTAACTAGCATATACTAGTTGCTAATGGTGAAGTCGGTTAACTAGCATACACCAGTGGCTAATGGTTGAGTCGGTTAACTAGCATACACTAGTGGCTAATGGTTGAGTCGGTTAACTAGCATACACTAGTGGCTAATGGTGGAGTCGGTTAACTAGCATACACTAGTGGCTAATGGTGGAGTCGGTTAACTAGCTACACCAGTGGCTAATGGTGAAGTCGGTAAACTAGCATACACCAGTGGCTAATGGTGAAGTCAGTTAACTAGCATACACTAGTGGCTAATGGTGGAGTTGGTTAACTAGCGTATACTAGTGGCTAATGGTGAAGTCGGTTAACTAGCATACACTAGTGGCTAATGGTGAAGTCGGTTAACTAGCATACACCAGTGGCTAATGGTGGAGTCGGTTAACCAGCATACACTAATGGCTAATGGTGGAGTCAGGTCACTTACTCATTGTGAAGCATGCTTACACTTCATAACAAACAATAGCTCTGAACAGTTAACAGTTCCAATTAATATTTTCACAGCCTCTGCTTTGTTTACGAACATACATGCACTAGTATGCTTCACGCATCAAATACAATGTACTTCTTGACAATATCCGGCACAGGAAGAAGTGCCACCCTCTCGGGCAAGTTGCCTGCAAGCTGTTTCCTCAGGAACAACCGCACCAGCTGTCTGGCTGGCAGGGGTCGGGCTGCCACCTCCATCAGGATCGTCCGCTCGTGAATAGTCAGTCCCGTGGATAGTCGGATAGCGCACAGGTCAAACACTGAACCTGCCTGCATCAGCAGGTGGAATATCTCCTCTCTACTCTCCACGCGGCTGTTAGGTAGATAGTGAAGAATTCCGAATGGGTCTTTCAATCGCGTCACTGACGATGACCCCTTGAAACTGACGTTGGCACCGTATTTGATTAGCAGCCGGGGAACATCGATAGTCACTGAGTCTGCTATACAACGCAGGTACTCGGTTAGAGGGGCGAGACAAGGGGAGGTGTAGCTCAGGACGTCCGAATGAGCATTGGGATCAGCCCCGTTCTTCAGCAGTACCTCCACTATCTCCTTCTGCTGCTTCAGGTGTGGAGTAGCACAAGCCAGCATCAGCGGTGTGGTGTTCTCGTCTGTCAACTCATCTATTTCAGCGTCCCATTTAATGAGAATGTCGCACAGGTCAGGTCTATCGGCAGCGACCGCGGCGTGAAGGGCAGCATACTTGTAGTCGGCGGGACGGCCTGGGTGCGCCCCGTGGCGTAGGAGATATGACGTAATAGCTAGATCGCCCTTCTGGATTGCGAAAAATAGAGCTGTTTTCTGCTCAAATTTTGGAGAGCACGTTAAGTTGACGTCTGCCCCATGTTTGTATAAAAGTCTGACGGCCTCCAGGTTGTGTTGTCTGCTAGCTTTCATTAAAGGACTAATTCCGCACCTGTTGCACACGTTAGGGTCTGCTCCAAACTGAAGCAATAACTGGACACACTCGATATGCTCTAACGGAACCAGATTTATTTCATAACCCATGAAATATTTGTGATCTGGTCTTGCTCCTTTTTCCAGAAGAAGTCTTACACATTCGATATGGTTGTTTTCTATGGCGAGATTCAGTGGTTCAATAGTAAGATAGCCAAGAGTCTTCATGTTTTCATCAATGTTGGTGTCGTCTGTAAAGAAGTCCACCCACGCGCCATGTTCAATGAGGATCTTCATGGACTCGAAGTTGCCCTTCCTGGCACACAGGTGTATGGGTGTGTACCCGATGTCGTCGGGCTGGTTCACTTGGGCCCCCCTATCCAGCAGGAACTTCACACAGTCGGCGTAGTCAGCGTAGGCTGCGTAGTGAAGTGGACGCAGACCTCTCTTGACAGGGCCGTTTACGACGTTGCCACACCTGAGAATTACCCCGATGTCGTGAAGGGAGGACCTGTACGTGATGCAATCTGCCAATAGACGCAGCAGATAGTCGGGGTCAAACACAGACGACCTCTCAGTTCTGCCTTCGTCACTTCCTTCAGCTTCCTCCCCTTTACTGTTACTGTCACATCCTTCACCCTCCTCTTCCCCGCCTTCACCGCCACATCCACCACCCTCCTCTTCCCCGCCTTCACCGCCACATCCACCACCCTCCTCTTCCCCGCCTTCACCGTCACATCCTTCACCCTCCTCTTCCCCGCCTTCACCGCCACATCCACCACCCTCCTCTTCCCCGCCTTCACCGCCACATCCACCACCCTCCTCTTCCCCGCCTTCACCGTCACATCCTTCACCCTCCTCTTCCCCGCCTTCACCGCCACATCCACCACCCTCCTCTTCCCCGCCATCACAGCCACGTCCTTCTTCTCCCCCTCCTCCATGGTCCTCGCCGTCGTCTGGTCTGTCACGCTGAAAGAGAAAGATAGCATTCATTTTATAGTGAGTGAGTGAGTTGGGTTTAACGCCGTTTTTAACAAAATTCCAGTTATATTGCAGCGTGTCAGCTTAATGTGGGAGGAACGCCCCAAGTGATGCAGGTCTTAGACGTATACCACTTCGGTGAAACCCACGAGCACGGGTATGGTGCTGACAAACCTAGAAACATAATCGGGGCGAACCGGGCTACGAACCCACAATCATAGGTTTCTGGCGTGCCTAAGGGACGCAACTCTGTAGAGCGAATCGCAGCGCCTTAGACGGCTGGGCCACCCGTGCCCCGCATTCCTGTTATAGGTCAGTGTGGAGTAAATGTAGTATTTCAAAATGCGCAAATAAACGTACGCATATATCAAACTTAAATACTCGTAGCTTAATATCATGGCATTAAAAGAAATATTATTCATATGGTTCAAGAATACGAACTATACAGGGCGTGATTGAAAGCAGCTTCAGTCCTCTGCCTGTAGTAGTTTGTACTATACAGGGCGTGATTGAAAGCAGCTGTAGTCCTCTGCCTGTAGTAGTTGGAACTATACAGGGCGTGATTGAAAGCAGATGTAGTCCTCTGCCTGTAGTAGTTGGAACTATACAGGGCGTGATTGAAAGTACCTTCAGTCCTCTGCCTGTAGTAGTTGGAACTATACAGGGCGTGATTGAAAGCAGCTGTAGTCCTCTGCCTGTAGTAGTTTGTACTATACAGGGCGTGATTGAAAGTACCTTCATTCCTCTGCCTGTTGTAGTTTGTACTATACAGGGCTTGATTGAAAGTACCTTCAGTCCTCTGCCTGTTGTAGTTTGTACTATACAGCGCGTGATTGAAAGCAGCTGTAGTCCTCTGCCTGTAGCAATTGGTACTATACAGGGCGTGATTGAAAGTACCTTCAGTCCTCTGCCTGTAGTAGTTTCTAATATACAGGGCGTGATTGAAAGCAGATGTAGTCCTCTGCCTGTAGTAGTTTGTACTATACAGGGCGTGATTGAAAGTACCTTCAGTCCTCTGCCTGTAGTAGTTGGAACTATACAGGGCGTGATTGAAAGCAGATGTAGCCCTCTGCCTGTAGTAGTTGGTACTATACAGGGCGTGATTAAAAGTACCTTCAGTCCTCTGCCTGTAGCAATTGGTACTATACAGGGCGTAAATGAAAGTACCTTCAGTCCTCTGCCTGTAGCAATTGGTACTATACAGGGCGTGATTGAAAGTACCTTCAGTCCTCTGCCTGTTGTAGTTTGTACTATACAGGGCGTGATTGAAAGTTCCTTCAGTCCTCTGCTTGTAGTAGTTTGTACTATACAGGGCGTGATTAAAAGCAGCTGTAGTCCTCTGCCTGTAGTAGTTGGAACTATACAGGGCGTGATTGAAAGTACCTTCAGTCCTCTGCCTGTAGTAGTTTGTACTATACAGGGCGTGATTGAAAGTACCTTCAGTCCTCTGCCTGTAGTAGTTGGAACTATACAGGGCGTGATTGAAAGCAGCTGTAGTCCTCTGCCTGTAGCAATTGGTACTATACAGGGCGTGATTGAAAGTACCTTCAGTCCTCTGCCTGTTGTAGTTTGTACTATACAGGACGTGATTTAAAGAACCTTCAGTCCTCTGCCTGTTGTAGTTTGTACTATACAGGGCGTGATTGAAAGCAGATTTAGTCCTCTGCCTGTTGTAGTTTGTACTATACAGGGCGTGATTGAAAGTACCTTCAGTCCTCTGCCTGTTGTAGTTTGTGCTATACAGGGCGTGATTGAAAGTACCTGCAGTCCTCTGCCTGTACTAGTTTGTACTATACAGGACGTGATTAAAAGTACCTTCAGTCCTCTGCCTGTAGTAGTTTGTACTATACTGGACGTGATTAAAAGTACCTTCAGTCCTCTGTCTGTACTAGTATGGAACTATACAGGGGACAGACAGCACCAGGAACCAATATGCAACTTGCAGATATATACCTCATTCTAAGGATAATTTGCAATGTATATTAATAAGACTTTGTGTTTTTAATGCACGTCAATTTTCACAAAGAGTGATTACTTTGCAGTAGAAATTGTCTGATTAAATCTTCTTAAAGTACATTTTACATAGACAATTTTATAACTTAACAGACAAATAGGAAATCAGGACTTCATCTTCATCAAACCAAAATCCACTCCACTGTGTAAGAAATGTATTTCCCGCCCATTGCAGCTTTGTTGGCGTAATACGTGCAGTCGCCATAGTTGACGTACACGCACGTGACAATATAGCAGGTGTCTCGAAGGTATAATGTCTTCACTACAACTAATCATTGGAATGATAAAGAAATTAGTACGTTCCTGTCTGTACCGTACTGGTTCTATACAGCTCGTGTAATAATTCATGTATGTCTGAGCGGACACAAGACATGGCAACACTCGACCATACAGTTGGCCTCATTCTGACCCTGAAGGGGCTGGGTACATTACACGAATACATGACCCTGAAGGGGCTGGGTACATTACACGAACACATGACGATTTATCCATCTCTTACTGTCACCTTTACTTCGGATGTTCAACACACACACGGGGTGCACAACCCACGCTGTTGTCCAAGTGAAGAACAACCCAGTGAGGGAAGGTACTTCGGACAACCCCGGACAAGATAGGTTGGAATTACCAGTTCCAGCCAGCACATCTGCGACCTTCAGAATGATGCAACGTACTCACAGTACACATGGCGTGTTTACATACATTGAATCAGGGAGCCTGGGACAGAGGTGACACAAGCGCCTTCATTGGAAATAGTATACATCGTCACGACGGTCACGCCACGGAACAAACACCTCAACACCTAATTTCCATGTAATGTTTACAATGACTGTTTACAGAACTAATGCAGTCCCAACACTTACACATCACAGGGACTCAAGAAATAGTCATCAGTCCGCATCTCGACTCCTGCTGGAGCGACACATACCTGTATTAGCGGCGTCTATGTATGGGGACACAGATATACTCAATGTACTTACATCAGACGGAGCTTGTTCCGACATGTTCGCCCCTCAGTACCCCAGTTCTCCAGCAGCCAGTGCAGGATCTGATTTCATGGCTATTTCCAGCACACTGTTTCTAACTCGCCTATACTGCCGTGCTGGAGATGCGCCAGTCCGCTAATCAAGGAAACGTGGAGTGGCTCCAGGAGTTCAACTGACGTCGCGATGTGATTGTGTTGTTGTGCCCTCGTATTGCGCAATTGGAACAACCAGACTTGATGTGTCTAACAACTGAAGCCAGGCAGTACAAAGAGTGATGAACACTACGTCTACCAATAGCTTGCTGTTTCTGTACACGCTGATCCAGAGGGGTCGGTGCTGGGTTGCACAGCCCCCTTCCCATACCCCCATTGTTAAGCATACCAATCACGTTGACGTATACATAAAGTACTTTTCTTTTTCAACAAACAATATATTAATAACAATAATATCTCCCTAATTTAGCGCATTAATCGTTTTTTAAGGGCACCCCCTCTCTGTATCCGCGCTTAACTAGTGAAACCGTTTGTTCCTATGCTGTCTCTTCTTACAGACTGATTTTTCCTTCAGTTGTAACACTGACTTTGTGTAGAGCTTGTGTTTGTGTCACACTAGCTCTTATAGATATTTATTATAGGTCTTTTCTTTCTGTGACATTAAACAAATCATCTGTGGACATAATTCCATGTGATAGCCTGGACTGCACAGACTGTCAGGATTTCATATAACACAGGAAGGGCCAGCCGTGGCGCTTCTATTTGCGTGGATGCGGTTCACTGTTCTAAGGGAAGCAACTCTTCACTGCGAATTAGGTCGAACTATAAGATGAGTTTAACTGCGTAAAATCCCCCCTAGTGATGGAACACGGCACTTGTTTCTTCCCAGCTGTAGACGTCAGCGGTGCATGTTATCAACACTGAGGACATATCCGGAGAGCTGAAGCTTTGCAAATATGTCATTTCGTCAGAGCCCTCCCTGACTACCTGCAGGTGTGTATACCGCAGCTATCGTATGGAAGTGTTGCCTTTCATAATTACAGGAATGTTTGGATATATGCAAGTAAAGTTCAGCTTCAACTGATATTATCATTCAGTGAATAACCATCTATGACAAACATACCACTGGGAACAAAAAATTATTTGTGGTGATACGAAATGTACGATTTGGAAGTTTGTACACAACAATTTGTCCGTTAGCCCGAGTCCCTGCAAGTTGTGTTCATGCATGTTGTGCTTTCCCTAAAACTTGTATCCCAGGTAGACGCTGGTGCTCTACCGGATACTTCAGATATTGACAACACAAGTCCGTCTGTGGGTCCACAACGTTTATTCTCTGAGAGTATGCCGTTACATCATATCCATGCAGTTAGACTCCTGGAGATGTAAGCTAGCGGGCCCACCTGCCTCAGCTTGAACCCTCACTGTCAGACTGCCATGTGTGTGTTACGTTACATATATGGTCAGCCCTCAGTATCCCGCACCTCATCCACAAGGTTAATTACAAGCCGCTGACACGCACATGACTCTGCTGCTGGCCATGGTGATGATACCCCAGCTGCTGTTATAATTTGTATTGGCAGCACTTTGAATATTTAAAAAGATATAATCAAGTTACTTAACTTAGGGAATATATAAAAGATATATAGACTCCCTGTCCCACTTGAGAACATTACATCATGATATTTGAACAATCACAAAATCATGCGCTATTCCACAGTCATAATCCATATCTGTATTATTTAAACAAAAAAATCATACAATTTGCATCGAAGACATTGTTTAATTATGTTAGTCGCATAACTGTGCTAAAGGGAGTGTATGTGTACTGGTTTGAAGGATGAAACACAGTTCAAATCTCTACATAGAAGGTTTTGAGTTATGTGCCTCTGAACCGGTGTATACATGCACATAACCCTTGCTACTAATATATCTGAAATTAAATGTCTTAATGCAGTAAAATAGATGTTATATATAAATATGGTATAGTGACTATCAACACCACCACGAGCTAACAATTCGCGATCTTTCTCTCTTATGTCCCGGGAACGCACTTTGCTATTCTCATTCATGTCCTGCATTGAATAAAACTTAAAAGGTTACATACACATTTCAATAAACACATATTCAATAAAATATCAATGATGGAATGACGAACGGACAACAAAAGCTGTAATCAAGTCTTACATTTCCTCAAACGCTTGGTGATATTTTAGAAAATTATTTTTTGTGCGAGACATTTTATACAAATCATCAGATACGTTAGACACAATTCATCAGTTCATGAGGAACTGGCCATTAGATATTCTTGGATGAGTGTGTATGGTGGGGGGTCGATCGTAATGCTGGTGTCAATGATTAGTTGTACACACACACTACATTAGCATACAACGTGGCGCATGATGACGTCAGGTAAATGCCAAACTGGGTAAAGCCATGGGGTTATGACGTCTGAGCAACGTGGTCAAACAGATGTAGACACAGAGAGGCAAATAAGCACATGGGGTTTGATACTGAGCACAAGATTGAAGTGTGCAGATCGCACACGTTTCCACTGCACTAAGGCGAGCACAATGCTCTGGGAAGTGTCTACGATTTGCGGTACTTCAGGCATTTGCACACCGTGATATAACTAAAATAGTTCCTAAAGCATTTAAACCTAACCCACTCACTCACTGAGCGTGTATGTTTGCTGTATCAGCAGATATTGCCTTGACAGGTTTCCATACAAAGCAACAGACCGTCACGCTTCATGGTGCACGTGCAGCGCGTGGGGATCACGTGCAACTAAGGATGTGGTCACAACACTTTGTGTCTCGACCTGCCAGCATCACGCCACAGACAGAGGCGAGCCGCCAGGTGGGTAGGCATTTTCTAATGCTCATCTATGATCACCCATGTTTGATTGTATTACGGAGGTTAAGCTGAAGTGCTGTCTATTTTGTATATACAAGGGTATCTGATTTGGAATCACTGTTCAAATTTATATCAGAATAATTATGTTGTGAGCATTTTGCATTACTTACTCACAACCTATTATTTAGAAATATATTACTACCTAACTTTAAAATAGAAAAGGATTGTACTTGTCAGATCGGTTCTGAGGTCTCGCTATTGGAAAATATTATCACAATTAACTTCAACCATAAATGTGGTTTCCACATGTCTCCAACAATATCACATAGATTTTACCGTACACCACAAACATACCTCGTGTAGACACATAATGGATAATGTCATCCGGTCCTATGAGATTTGTTTTTCTTCGGATGCGGTAGCCAAGAAACTCGTTTACTATTGGGCGATACACTACAGGCATCGGGCTGTGACGATGTTAAGGATGCTGTTTGGGTTTGGGGGTGATGCTTAGCAGTGATGAAGTTATGCTAATGCTTCCAATATCTCAAATTACCTTTGTACCAGGAGGGCACCCCCCTCAAATTGGAACATCGGTGAAACAAATCTCCGCATTAGATTTGCATGGACACATATTCAGAAGGACTATATCCAAATGTATGTCCCAAACCTGCGTATTTGGTGAAACGTTAGCCTTTATGGCTTTCTCAGTCATTTCAATGTCATTTATATACATCCCAGATGGGCGTGCGTATGGAGGTTAGCTGACCTGGTATATAATAGCTTGCGCGTCACATTCAGAAGTGTGTTCTTGTAATGTTGCAGTTTTACTAACAATATAGTACCTTGTGGTATAATTATATTGCAAATACAAACAATAACTTGAAAGTTGAATGCAATGTTTTCTAAATATCAATGAACGAAAACTTATCAGTTTATAGGACAATACCTTAGCCATAATGATTTATATGCATAATTTCCACAAAGACATCGCACGTTCTAGGACCATCTGTGTGTTACCATTTCCGAGTTATGAATGAACAATGTCTCCATAGTCTTGGCAAATTCCCACCCCAACCTCTCCGTGTTAACGTGTACACCACGGGTTAATTCTAAGTACGGAAGAGTCCGCTTCCCCAATGCGAAAGGTAGATATTTTGATCAGTGAATGGTATAACATTTTACGGGAAATCTGTCCCTACAAGAATACAGTATTTGAGTTCGATCCCCGGCCGCATCATACGAAAATACGTTAATAAATGATAATTGTTGCCTCCCTACCGCTCGGCATAAAGAGGATAAAACAAGGTCTTAAGTCTACTGCGTATCAAACTTATAATTCTTTCAACATGCCTTGACCACATTATCTAGAACAGCTTTGGTTTGGCCTACTTGGATGCGGACACTTGAATGCTCTTTTAAGCAGACGCAGCCCTGAATTGATGTAAATTGTCGACACCAGGTATGAAGTTCACTTACTAATATCAACATCAAAACTCCTTTTGAAAGCGTAATTTCATACGAATGAAAGGAAAACCATCTTAGGACACGCGGTAGAGGGGTCACACGTAATGAAAAACGTCCTAACCAAGATAAATTACGTAGGTTTAAGTGATCTATAACCCTCCATAGCTGTATAATTGGGTAAAATGTGTGAAGCCCTTTTCTAGTGTCCCCCGCCGTGATATTGCTGTAATATGGCTAAAAGCGGTGTAAAATCATACTCACTATATTTATGGATATGGAAGCTATCGAAGTTTGTTTCAGGTTTAATGAAATTATCCAATGAAGGTATCCAATGAAATTATATACTTGTTATTAATGTTAAGAGCAATCGGAATCAAGCACTCTCAGTATCATGGTAGATTAATTCAACAGTTTTGTAACCGGCCCATCAACAACCGTCCACCCTCGCCAACAATGTACGTTTATGTAAAACGTCAGAGGTGAGGTGAAATGGGGTTTGACTTCGCGTCCAAGATTATTGCACTTATATAGCGATGTATGTCCGTGCGTGCGTGTGTGCGTGCGTGCGAGCGCGCGCTAGTCCCGACTGATGCCGATATATAGCCCATTGAGAAACCATGCCGTTTAACATGAATACCCCACTCAGACAGTATACTGACTCCGAGCCGACCAGTCCTTGTTTTAGCCCCTTAATGGCGAGCGCCAGACAGAGTAACAAGTATCATCTTTTAACGTCTTTTGGTGCAACGCGGCCGGGGATCGAACCTTCCGCTCTCCAGTCGGACGCTCTAACACTAGACCACGGAGGCAGTCTAAAACACCTGAGATCATACGCTCCTACAGTGATTAATATATTCTGGACAACGGAGTCATCTCCTTGCTGTCGCTGACGGCAATATAAGTTTTCGACTTGTCCTTGCAATATGTTCTCTGTATAGTGTGGGCGCATTAGACTGACATGTAGCGTAGTCCCAAACATCGTAGTCTTAACGCAGAATTCTTAGCTGTGAACGCTGGTTCTTCAAGCTTATTGTTGCTTCTTACTGACCATGTTTGTGGTTGTGCATGGCTAGGAACAACGCAGTCTGTTTGATTGTTAAAGGGTCTATATTTTCAGAATGATCAATGTGATGTTACCAGCTGTCGTAGCGGTGCTGCTATTGCTGTCGCTGTTGGTGAGTTCAAATGACAAGTCTCCCTGTACGTAGGACTGTTTTTGACAAGGCAGTATTCCCCTGGAGGTTTGAATACTGGTGGCGGAAGGGAAGCAGCATGAGTGATAATGTAACGTACAGTTGACAGGTGGTACTGTGACTGTCAACTCCAGGTTAATTAACTGATACGAATCTTCTTCAGATTTCCAGAAAGTCTTGTCTCTGTTTTCTGCGTTACGTATGTCAAGCGATGACCATTTTGTTAGGGTACGTCTGTGTGATTTGCTAGCGTTCGAGTTCTTAAAGGTGCGTAAGGTTTCTGAACTTCAAAAGTATTATTTGCCACGAACTATTTTACATTGTGTCCCAAACCGATGTTTGTTTATTATGTTTAGCAGTACCTGTGAGAGTGTGTACCGAGAGTGCGTACCGAGAGTGTTATTTTCGCCAATACGGTTGGCCATGTTATTGAATCGCTGGTCTGTTATACATACAGTATCAATCTTATTCGGGCGTTTTATTTCACTTTCATTAATATTTTTTTAACGTTTAGAACTTTGTCTGACATGTTCTTGCTTAATGTTAGGCTCAGCTAATTCCCACTGGTCACAAGAGATATGTAATGACAACACAATAAGACAGTGACTATGAAAGCTTTGGGTCACATTGTAATACTTCAAAGTTATGTATAGCCTAGTGGTTAAAGCGTTAGCTCGTCACGCCGAAGACCCGGGTTCGATTCCCGACATGGGTACAATGTGTGAAGCCCATTTCAGGTGTACCCCCGCCGTGATATTCCTGGAATATTGATAAAAGCGGCGTAAAATCATGCTCTCACTTTATAGTGATACTCGATAGGCGAAATATACACACCACACGTATGGCTGGGACTGGGAGTTTATAAATATTATGTTCACCCAGAGCATATTGTCATTGTCCTTCTGGAAGTTACTTGTCCTTGCCCATTTCACCATCGCCCACACACCTTGCTAACAGTGCTTACACCCGCTTAGCTTTCCCACACTAACCCTATATGTCGTCATGATGCTGCAAGTATGGGCAGCTTGAGACTTTGCAGTATTTTGCACTGTCACAAGGTTGTCTGTTTTTCCTCTTGTAGGTGAAATGCATTCTTGTAAATTAAGTATTAATGCTCCACATTATTGTCATAGAAACAAACTATTAAAAGTTTTTTGTGATTGATATTTTAGAATAGTCATGTCTAACGTAGCACTGTAAACTAGTTTTCCGCATCTTTGCTATCAGAAGTAAACCTATTTGCACGGTGTTATTTGTCTCAGAAATTGTTTCAAACAGGTTTTATTTAATACCATAGGCCAAGCAGTCTATAAAACCAATCTTTAGTACAAACTAGCTGTTAAGTTTTTATACCGATATTTTTAAGCGTGTAATCATGTACGTCGGACACAAAGTACCGTTTATGCGAACCGGTTTTGAGCTCAAAACAAATATTTTCTTACCGCATGTTTCCAAGCACTTTAGCGTCAATACGGAGTCGTTAGGTCTTTCCCGAATCTTATAACACAAAACGTAATTTTCGTTAGGCACATGTCCAAATATATCATGAATATTAACCCCTATATTAAGCTACTTTACACACGTGCCACTACAAGGATTGTAATTGGAGATAGAGGCAGTATAAGTATGGTTACTCTCGGGAATGAGATGAGAGATCAGCTTGTACATGTCTTAGTAACGTTGTACCCATGCCAGTTAAATTATCAACAGTAAGTCAATAACTGGCGCAGCCACCCGGACACGAATCGCATGCGCAAGACGTCTCCTCGTGCCCAAAAGCAGACGCCTGATCCTCAACTGAGCGATGTTGCCTTTCCTGGGTTAATTCTGGGAGATTCAGTTTTGGAAGGACCCTGGCTCTAATCCAATATCCCAACTGATCCCATAGATGCTCGATTGGACTGGGTTCAGGGCTTCGAGAAGGCCAAGGCAGTCGCAATGGCGTTGTTCTGGAGATGGTCAGTCACAGCTCGTGCTCGGTGGGGTCGGTGTCGTCCATAAAGACGGGACGAGTGGCAAGTGCAAGGTTATCAAAATGAAGCACAAGAAAACCGTCCAATATGGTATCTTGGTACCTTTGTCCATATAATCCCCTAAACTGTGACCATGTCAAGTTGACATTGAAAGGAGCAACATCCTAACTAATATTAATTAGTGACAGTAGTGTTAGTGACAAACCACTGCAAAATGATTCTGTAGTCTCCTTGCTCAGAGGCAGGAATATTAACTGAGATGTCCTTGTCACAAGATGAAACAAAATCGGATAATTCACTGCATGTCCAACGCTTTTGTGTATTTGTTCAGACGGTATCCTCCTTGCGTAGGATTAAGCTGTACAATTACTTATGTTTAACATATTTGCAACCATTAACTGTCTTATAAGCAAGTTTGGAGCAGAGGCAAATGCCCTTACCGACAGGTCACATGTTTTAAAATGAGTCGCTTTAACCAACTCTCTTATGTACTAATGAAAATAGCACGTTAAATTATGTAAAAACTTTGGCCGAGGCTAGCCACAGCGCAGAGAGTTCTGGACAAAAATAGGTTTGCAGAAATTAAAATGGGACATGTTTTATACTATTGAATGACAGGTTATACTTTTGAAACACTCTCCCCAGGACTGACCCACGAGGACGTGTTATCTGTACATTGTTAATATATTTTTTCAGAATACGGCGCTTGCAATTCCGAACGGTTACGTCCTCAATGGTAGGTAGAACATTTATATCATGAAATAATTTATTGTGATGAAAGGTAGTGTATACCCGTGAATATCCGGTTAAGAATAGGTCTTCACCAACCCATGCTTGTCGTAAGAGGCGACTAACTGGATCGGAGTTTGGTTAACCATGTTTTGGGACCGGAGTGTCAATGTCTATAATTTTCTCTTGCGGGGAAACCACCTGTGTATGTATCAAATGCTAGGTGTAGAACGAGCAGTGCAACATACATTGATGACGTCTGTACTGGAAACCGTTGTAAATAATGCTTCAATATTGAAATCTCCACCTAACGGCGACTGGACATTCAGTCAGGACTACTAACAGCTTCGTGTTTGTCCAGTAAAGCACACCTGCGGCAGCAACTTGAAGGCGGAGAGCGTTGTGACTATCACCACGGACTTAACTGTTGAAGTGATTGTAGAGTGCAAAGACCGGTCAATGGTCGTCCCATCATGGGACCGAGTCATCTACCTTATCAAAGCGCACTACAAGGGAGACGTGCACAAGCAGTGCTTGTTCAAGGTAGGAGGGGCAGTCTTTGAATATAGTGTGCATGTGGTTCAGATGGGACCGGTGCATGTGGTTCAGATGGGACCGGTGCATGTGGTTCAGATGGCTCCGGTGCATGTGGTTCAGATGGGTCCGGTGCATGTGGTTCAGATGGCTCCGGTGCATGTGGTTCAGATGGGTCCGGTGCAAGTTAAGATTGGATTGAATAAACGTGAACTGAAAGGCCAGATAAGGTCAGGTGCAAAACTTGGTTTAAACCGACAAAGTGCGAAAGATGTTTTAGAGGGTGGAAATGCTTTTTGGCGACCTATTCCGCATTGGTTTCTGGCAGTATGACCTTTGAATCCATACTTTGTGCAGTTCGAGCAAATATAAACACACCTGTAAATTGTTCCTCAGCTGTCATGTTCGTGTCTCTGGTTTCCACATCCAGAAGACGATTCAGTGTTTCAATAACACCTTCCTACCCAATGTTGACGCCGGAGTAAAATAACAATTGAGGAAATGAAACGCCTCAAGTTGAAAATCCAGATACACTACACAAGTATAATATGCGATCATATAACATTAAGAACTGACAATACCGACCATGATTTAACAAATTTATTTTTCTTCAGGAAACAGTGTGCCCATAAACTGATCCTTTTTTTGTGTAATAAAGTACTTCAGCAGATCTGTCTACAAGAAACTCTCGTCGAGATCCGGGCTGGAATAATTCATCATTCTATTGCTGGTGGTTAGAGGTGACAATTAGACTGAGTGCTCCGGCTTGGTGATTTCGCAAGAATGTCGCTGTTACGTTAAACAACATTCGCTCACTTTATATGAAATGGGGGTTGCCGAGCATCATTCATTTGCTGCACCATTCTCATTTCATGTTTATTTCTGTATGTTCATTTACATAGACGCCAAAAGTGTCATTTAAAAGAAATCGTCAGAAGATATTCCACATAAACTTTATCTGTGTAGTCCCGCAGACGTTCAGGCATCTGGTTGCTGTTGGTGAACATCAAATGGTCCGAGCCCAGGGAGACGCTAAAGACCAAGAAGGAGCAGTATCTGATCACGTGTATACTCGACCCCCATGCTATGAACCAGACAACCCAGCATCAGACCAAGGACGGGTAGGTATCGCATCAGGCCAAAGTTGCTGATATTACGAACGGTTTCCGTCAAAATATCGCTAGAACGTTGACCATTACGTAATTTCACTTGTCATTGAGAAAATGTACCAGACTGGAACCAGCGTTTGTTGGCGACTTGCGAATATATGTAAGTTGAAGAATGTGTCTGCAGTATATCATGCTTGTGGAAAAAGACAACTAATATGTGTATCGGGTGGTCAAGCTCATCGGATGGACCCCTGTTTTGTCTGTCTGCAGCCCTTATGGAGCTGTAGTCACCAATTGCTCCAACATTGTCATGGTAGGACAGATTAATTATATACTGAACCGCAAAAGAAACGTCAGCCCAAGTAACATTGCATGAAAAGTTGTCATTTAAATATCTGGGTATTTTTTGTCAGTTTCTAAAATTTAGCATTACCTTTTCCGGAAAAATACAATTTGATGATAAAAAAAACAAAGCAGATGACAATAAAACCGATCGCCCAAACGCATCACGGCAACGGCCATGGTAACCCGATGCACGTGAATTCCGTGCAAATTGAAATGCACATGCGTTCCCCCATTTCTTGCCCTATAAAAATCCACCCTGATCGGATAACATTCATTCGTTATTGAATTGCTACCACATACCAAGATTGACAAGAAACCAGCGACACCAAGCCCTTGGACGATTGCAAGCTGGACAAACCGCCCGGCAAGTTGCCAATCCATTTCAAGTTCACGTAAGGACCATATACAGGCTCCAGCAACGGTACCAGACCACCAACACTACAGATGACAGACCACGTAGTGGAAGACCAAGGGGCACCGGCCGACGTCAGGATCGTCAGATTGTGCGACAGCATCTTTAAGATCGCTTTGCTGCGGAAACCGCTCGACAGTCCATGGGGATACACCAGCGACACATTAGTGTGGACACTGTGCGTCGACGATTGACAAGCAGATACCTCTACTGTCACATGCCACACCGAGGACCATTCTGACATCACGTCATCGACGGGACCGTCTTCACGGGGCAACACATCACCAGCATTGGCACCACCAGCAGTGGAGAAGAGTCCTCTTCTCAGACGAGAGCCGTTACTGTATCTCAACAGCAGATGGCAGAGAGTCTGGCGACGCCGTGGGGAACGTTAGTCGGATGCTTGTGCTGAGAGACTCGTGGGGTGGTCCGAGCATCATGGTGTGGGGTGGTCCGAGCATCATGGTGTGGGGTGGAATTGGTCTTGCACAGAGGGTCGGCTCTGTGGTCTTCCAGAACATCGGTCCAGGGAGAAACAATGGTGTCACAGCACCTCGGTACATTGATCAAGTCTTGAGACCACACGCCATACCTCATTTGGCACGCCGCCGCAACCACGAGTTTCAGCATGATAACGCCCGTGCCCACACTGCGAGAGCCTTGATCAGTTTTGCCAAGTTTCATCTTTTTAATATGTCTCAAAGTATGTTTGCAGTGTTTGGACAAATAAGGTTTCGCATATATCTATCCATGGTGACGGTTCTTTTGCGGTTTAGTATAGTATGAAAGATTCGGGCGAGAACTTTTAAGAACTTTGAGTATACATGGGTGACCCCATTGAGACGGGAAAACATCCGAGCCAACTCGCTATCACACTGGCTCAGTTGCCCTTTCTTTGCAGTTTGTTGGGACCACTTGAGATTCAGCAGCGGATGGGTGTCCCATCAACATCCTCCTACATCTTACAAGTCACTAACGTCAATGGCCGACCGATAATGTCTCATGTCGCGATTGGCCGGAAGATCCAACTGTTGACGACTATGAAAGGTATAGTCTTCAGGTTGGAAGCCTGATTATTTTATCGTTTTCTAACTAGCACAGTATACAAAAGGAAGGAGTTAATTTATGCTGCATAAAGTATTTAGTTCCCCGCTATAGAAGTTTAATTTATTTTATGACTTTCCTCGAAAAGGGACTAATTTTATTCATGTTAATACCCGCCCACTGCGGTATACCGTCATACCCGCCAACTGCCGCATGCCGCCATACCCGCCCACTGCCGCATGCCGCCATACCCGCCCACTGCCGCATGCCGCCATACCCGCCCACTGCAGCATACCGTCAAATATATAACCGGTTTAGAATACAAATGTGGAGTTGGACGACAATATGCTTTCAATGTTGTGCCTCAAAAGTATACATTTGTTACAGTGTAAAAGCACAGCCTATATCTAGTTGCAAAAATAATCTGTAAACACATAGTAGTTTCAAGCAAGAATTCTGGTGTCCCCAATCTGCACAACTAAATTAATCAAGGTTAAAACACACAACACAAGGCGCTTGCTGCGCAGCGTATTTATATAAGTTTCAATGGATCCATCGCTTAGACCTGTCTTCCTCAGTTTCAGCAGTAGTAATACGTCTATCTGACAGTATAAGTTTTTCTATCTCCTTGATATATGGAAGTTTATTGATGGAAGTTGAGTGACGTCCAGACCTAGGGTCATCAAGGCGTGTTCTCCCAGCCTTAAAGGGGCACTGATCTCAAGCAATTCCCCGGGACTGGTTGTTGCTTTTGTTATTGATTGTTTTCCCCGTGAGTACTCGGATGATACGCAACGCAAGACAAGAGACAAGAGACTGGGCTACCGTCTGCAAGGACAGCTAAATAAACTTGAGAGCAATAATTGTTTTACGCATTTTTGAACACGGATTGGTTAACCGTGATCTATAAAGATTTCGACAAAGAGCGCATGTTAATTAATTTCTTCAGCCTAAACAGACAAAAAGAACGACAGAGCTCATCGGATGTCGTTTGGAAATACCCCAGATGGTTAGTTTAATCATAATTAAAAAGTATCCATGCAGTGAAAGTATTTTCGGATTTCGGATTGCGTCGATAATGATTACTAACTCCCTTGTCACCCACGTTTTCTGGTATAACCCTACACTTGTGTATTTGTCGTCATTCACTTGATGCTCAGTTAATGAATTTATTAGGTATAATTAGTGGTAGCACCACTCAGAATACCTGACAAAGGTTCCCATTTGGCATTTATTGTTTGGGGTAATTATTCAATCTAAATCCAGGTTTGAAGTGAGGTGAAATGTGTGTTATGTCATATGCACGTAGCAGCCCAGCAAGAGATTAATGATCAGTTTTAACAAAGGATGAACAGAAAATACGTTGATTGATTAATCACTTATCTTGCACAGTGGATATGTCAAAAGTGAGTGTTTACGTGTCTAGGTTTACTAAAGCAAAGGGAATACACTCATAGCATGGCTTGAAGTGCCGATGTAAAAACAACATACTTTGTTCAAAGGGTTATCCGATTATACGTTGATTGTTCATTGTTAGCTAACTCAATGAATTCTTTTAGGAACCGTGGACGTTATGAAAATAGTTGTCACGTGGGCTTTCTCAGCCGACCTTTGAGACTTGACACCTATGTGAAACACCTGAAATAATCTGAGTGATCAGTTGAGAAACGAACACGGGTTATAATATCCCGAAACGATGTATATATATTTTAAAATATTTGATTGTTACAGAGACACGTGACATCGAATAGGTTTCTTTGTACATCTGCAGACGTGTGGGATATTGTTCCTTTGTGTGGATATTCACGGATACATTCCTCGAACAAGGAAGCTGCCTAAAATTATACACATAAATTTGGTAGGTTTTAATTATGATATTTGCATTTTGTTTTCCTTCATTTGCTGTAGCACTGAACAGATTCATTCTTGTTCCTCTACGTCTTGGTCGGGAAATTCTTCGATGCGCGATAGACGTTGTTTTCACAAGTCTTTCCTTTGTATGCTTGTATATATTAGTCAATTTATAAAATGTTATTCTCTAAGGCAATTAATAAAATGCGTAAATATTTCAGTCATTTTGACTGAAAAATCTGTCAATTTCTTTAACAGATTGATTAAAATAGATTATGTAGGATTAGAAGCCAAACAAAATAGAAAAGTACTTTTCATGGTAACATTTTCAGTCTCTTGGTGATGATATTAAACATAAAAATGTTTGGAATACGTTGTCATAATAATACAGATGGACATATTTTTCAGACAATTTGTAAAATAACTGAATATTTATTTAGGCGTTTAATAAATTTCCTAAATGAAAATTCTGCACATTTTGACTGTAAAAACATAAACACGATAAAATAAGCAATGCTCAGGAAAAATATTTACTTTGTGTTGCAAGTCAGAATAGTGTAAACGAAAATCGCACAATTACCAAGTAAGTGACTTATCAAAACTTCCGTCACCATTACCGATGCTACCCACAAAGATACCTACATTTCCTTATTATTTCCAAAACTGTTTCATTTTGTTGATCAGTGTGACCATACGCCCGTATACTATCAATAAAAGTGACAAATGCGCTTACGAATTGCGCAGCAAAGGTCGCGAACTAGTCTAGATTTCTGCTATATCATCCGGGTACTCACGGGGGGAAAAAACAATAGCAAAGGCAACAACCAGTCCCGGGGAATTGCATTAGACCAGTGCCCCTTTAAGCATAGCTGTCCAACGTGGAATAGCTATGGCACTTCAGGCCATACACTTGTGACATGCGGTCATAAATTTCTTGAAGTACTTTTCTCTGAAGTAAAAAACTTGATGACTGCTCGGTACTCGCTCTTTTCCATTTGTGTCCTTTTGGACCCCAATCACGTTCAACTGGCTGTCACTAATATACAGACCCTCAACAGACCAAATACACGTGCAATGACCTACACAAACATGTTCTACAATGACTAGTTCACTTTATGGCCCATAGTTAAGTTAGTCAGGCCTAGACCTTCTTGACAAGATTTCGTATATGCACGCACGCACGCACGCACGCACGCACGCACGCACTCACGCACGCACTCACGCACTCGCGCGTACGTCCGTATTGTGATAAAACATGTTTCCGAGCAGGTATCCGACTTTGTTAATTCTTAGGCGCTCGGTTTCGCTGATGTGTTTCGAATCCCAGCTTCATTGGCCACGTTTTACCGGCGTACGTTAAATCATGGGAAGTCACTCGATTTAATATCTTGCTAATGGCACGTCGCTGCTACCTTCGACAGAAGTGTTTCAAAGAAATCTCGACATCAGATATGTGGAATATTCTTTGTTAGTTTTTCTTTCCATTTACACAGAATGTATTTCTTGTAAACACGACATTACACGCAGGGCTATCATGTTTTGCAATATGGGGCGGTGAGATAGCCTTGTTGTTTAAGCATTACTCCCAGCATGGGTGCAATGTGTAAACTCCATTTCTGGTGTCCCCATGATATTGCCAAGAGCGGCATAAAACCATACTAATTAAAGCTCTCTTCGTGAAATGCACACGCGGTTCTAGAGTTGAACGTCTGTATCTATGGTCCTGTGTATCTGACAGTGGTGTGTTCATGACGAATGTTTTCAACGATTGAATGGGGATTCACTTCTTTAATATCTTTTTTCGTTTTAGTTCTATGCAAGTATCCACATACTGATGGTATGTGTATTGTCTGGAGCGCAGAATTTATGCCACAGTCGGCAATATTCCAGTCATCATTTCATTCCCGAACTGAACTCGAAAGCCGGTCGTCTTTACGATCATCAGTGGTTGTGGATTGGTTTATTATGAAATTTGAAACGTGAACATTGTAACGACGATTCAAATAGTCGGTTCTTGTGACAGCTTGACCAACATATTTGCTTGTCTTCTCGAATGTAGGTATTTACAGGTGATTGAACCTTGTGGGGGTGTCTGTGGGACTATCCGAGACACGGGTATTTGTGGACTGCTTGCCGATGTTGGCGGGCTGACAAGTTGAGGCCATGTTTTACTTCCTGGTGAGTAATATGTACCTGTGTTGATACTCCACAGCTGCTAACAATGAACTGGGTTTCCGTGCCGTGAGCTGCGACGCCAATGGAGGGAGAACGTCGTATTCCGTATTACGTGGCGGGTAAGTGTAGCCTCTGCGTCTTACCATTCAGTTGTAGCTTACACGTGTTGCAGGTGTGGCGGTGGTAACTGTAGCAAACACGTGTTGCAGGTGTGCCATGGTAATTACTGTTTGCACGTGTTTCAGGTGTGGCGGTGGTAACTGTAGCCTACATGTGTTGCAGGTGTGCCATGGTAACTGCTGTTTGCACGTGTTGCAGGTGTGGCGGTGGTAACTGTAGCCAACACGTGTTGCAGGTGTGCCATGGTAATTACTGTTTGCACGTGTTTCAGGTGTGGCGGTGGTAACTGTAACCTACACGTGTTGCAGGTGTGGCGGTGGTAACTGTAGCCTACATGTGTTGCAGGTGTGCCATGGTAACTGCTGTTTGCACGTGTTTCAGGTGTGGCGGTGGTAACTGTAACCTACACGTGTTGCAGGTGTGGCGGTGGTAACTGTAGCCTACATGTGTTGCAGGTGTGCCATGGTAACTGCTGTTTGCACGTGTTGCAGGTGTGGCGGTGGTAACTGTAGCCTACACGTGTTGCAGGTGTGGCGGTGGTAACTGAAGCCTACATGTGTTGCAGGTGTGGCTGTGGTAACTGAAGCCTACATGTGTTGCAGGTGTGGCGGTGGTAACTGTAGCCAACACGTGTTGCAGGTGTGCCATGGTAATTACTGTTTGCACGTGTTTCAGGTGTGGCGGTGGTAACTGTAACCTACACGTGTTGCAGGTGTGGCGGTGGTAACTGTAGCCTACATGTGTTGCAGGTGTGCCATGGTAACTGCTGTTTGCACGTGTTGCAGGTGTGGCGGTGGTAACTGTAGCCTACATGTGTTGCAGGTGTGGCGGTGGTAACTGTAGCCTACATGTGTTGCAGGTGTGGCTGTGGTAAGATAAACTGTATCTGACATGCACCGGTGTGGTAATATCTCTATCTACTCGTGTTGCAGGTGTGGCGATGGTATCGTGTTTCCCAGGACGGAAGGCTTCGTTACCAAAGGCCTTGAAGTCAGAAGTCCATTCTTTGGTGCTTTCAAGCTGAGGAATGAACCCTATGTTACCTTCAAGTGTAACTTCACATCCTGCAAGAAAAACTGTGACGGTGTAAGCTCAGCCAGTGTTAACAGGTCTACAACAGACCATGTGTGCAAGGTCGATGTTTAACGAGCACTCGGCAGTAATCCAGCTATATGACGACGGTTTGCAAGGTCGATCCCGCAGACCCATTCTGAAACGTGAATCCCACACTATCTGCGCATTGGTGTCACTGCTTGATGCCGTGACTCCATGATATGGCGGATATTTTGGTAACCGAGACGTGTAACAACAATGTGGTATCAAGTCTGTTAACGACTTGGTTATGCTGTTTCGTGTTCGTGTTTCGTGGTGTGTGGACGATCGGACCGGATACTGTTTACGTGGCCAAGTTTTTATTATATACTGAGCAACAAAAGTTCCTGTGACATTGAATAAGATTTAATGCAAAGTTATGTTTTTTACCAAATCTGAAACAATTTCGGTTTGCAAGAGATAAAAGACTCCTGAAAGTGTTCGTAATTGCAATACTGACTTCAGAAAATGCGTGATTTCATAAAAAAAAAACCATTAACATGCCAAAATGTCAATTTACAAATCAAAAGCGTGTGTCCACCTCTGGTTGCGATACAAGCAACACATCTTCGTATCATGGAATGGACCAGGCGTCGCACAAAGTCCTGTGATATCTGTCCATATATGCTGGAGCATGTTTCGAAGTTCCTGGAGTGTCTGTGGAACACGTGGTTGACGTCGCAGGCTCCGATCCATCTCTTCCCACATGTGCTCGATTGGTGAGATCAGGGGAGCGAGCCGGCCAGAGGATGACATTCACGTTGTTTTGTTGAAGAGAATCCTGAACAAGTCGGGCAGTGTGAGGCCGGGCGTTGTCATGTTGAAAGGTAATGCCTGGGCCATGACGACGCAAAAACGGTAGAACAGGGCCGATGATCTCGTCGCGGTTGCGCTGTCCATTGGGATTTCCCTCTACCACGATCAAACGGTTCCTATGTCTTGCTGTAATCCATCCCATACCATAACGCAGCCGCCCCCGAACTGATCTTCTTCCATGAAACAATGATTGACGTAATTTTCACCTCAACGTGGGTACACTCGAATCCGTCCATCACTGTGGCTGAGGTGAAAACGACTCGTCAGTGAATAGAACCTGTCCCCACTGCATGACCGTCCAGCGTAGACGCTGTCTGCACCACTGTAGACGTGCTTGACGGTGGTTTCTTGTCAAAATGGGACGCCTGGTGGGTCGTCTGTCGACAATCCCTGCACATCTGAGACGACGACGTACGGTTTGTGAAGATATTCGTCGAAGGCCAGGGATGCTTCTTGCAGTCACTGTTGGTGGCTGGAATCGATTTCGTAGGTGTGTTGTTCGAATCCAGTTGTCTTTTCGATTATTGGTTACGCGTGGCCTGACACTCCGAGGATGGTTTGCCTGCATTCGTCTGTTGCCAACGTTGCAATAAACACCAAATGGTGTTTCTGTGGACGTTAAATTGTCTTGCAACATCACGTTGACTCGATCCTACTTCAGGTATATCAATGGCTCGCAGCCGCTCATGTTTGGACAGGCGTGGCATTTCGTAATGTTGAATAATTGCGTAATTTTCTTGTTTTTCCTGAGTGGTTGTTGTCAGCACGATGCAAAACAATGCATATGGGATTCATGTTCTTATATCCATTCTTGGGTAGTGAAATGCATGGGGCTTGCATAAAAGTCACTTTTTGCATGGAATGCATGCTGTTCTGTAGCAGTTGCGTTTTTGTGACTGATTCCATACATGTACTACAATATTGAAAACCAAACTTTACTTGTTTGAAAGTTACACAAAATATTGGTGTCACAGGAACTTTTGTTGAGTATATAAAAAGGTTTCCCCCGTCTGTGGGAGTAATGTTGTAAAGATTTCTTAAAGCAGTTTATTGTGCAACTTTTAGGTTAACGATAATGTCAGATTTTGGTTTGATGTAGTTTCGTTCTTTGCAGGATTCCTGCAGGTATGAAAGGCGTCGACGGGATACGAGACGCCATGAAGGTAATGAACATGAGATGCCCTACTCTACGGTAGGTCGGCGGGTTGGCATAATGTTTGGTGTTGGCCTTTTCAAGCCGAGGGTCCTGTCTCAATTTCCAAGTTAACTCCCCAATTGTGGTGCTAAGACCTGAACTGCTAAAAACGTAATATACAAAGTTCCTCATAAATATGATTTAGTATTCAGTTCATATGTCATCTGAAGTGCTTTCTGTTGTAGAAAACCCAGTCGAAATCGGACTGTCGTCTGATCGCTTGAACATTTTTGAACCGGAAGCTAGAGAAAGTGGACTTGACATGGCCCAGAGAGTGCAGGAGCTTGTTGATATGGGCCTTGCCGTCGTGCCAGAGTCTTGCAAGATGACCAGTCAGGGAATGGTGTGTCGGGCGGCAGATGACTACAGCAACCTGAACATTGAAGACAGAGATGTCAGCTACGGAGTTTTGGCGGTTGGGCTTCTCCTGCTCCAGGCGTGCGTTACCCTCGGCCTCGTGGGGGGTTTGGTCGTGGCCAGCAGACGGGACAGACGAATCGAAAAGTCAGGTTCACGAGCTTCTTCCATCCTCGCTTGCAAAGGGAAATAAATTCTGTGACTAAACATGTTTCTGCTTTTTCTATTAAAACATCATCAGGCTAAACTCATTTACTCCTTCGAAGTAGCAGGTTGTTCCAAAGCAGGTGTTAACTTTGATCACAATGCCACCACGCGACAATAAGCCAGCGAGCTACATGATTGCGGATTATAAATAATCGAGCCCAGTGATTGGCGTCACACGCAATCAGCAGTCGATGACCGCCTCCGTGGTGGAGAGCGGAAGGTCGGGAGTTCGATTCCCGGCAGCGTTATGCCAAAAGACGTTAAACCTGTCACCGGCTCGGAGACGGTATACTCATACTGTGTCTGAATCGGATGTTCGTGTTGAACTGCGGCATGGTATCTCGGTGGCCTAGCCCTTTTAGACAAAACGGACTATAACGCGCGCATGCACGTCGCAATACAAGTGCAATAACCTTGAACGGGAAGTTAAACCTCATTCCATGTCACCTAAATAATTCACTACTGGGAACCTAATGGGCATAAGTTGCCCATGGGAGGACAGAGCCGCAATTCGAACTGATGCCTTGTCCCTAAGGCGAGCCGGGATCACCTGATCCTGAGTATCCCAGATCTTGATACCAGTTCTCGTGAGTTTCAAAAAAGTGGCACATGTGGGTATTCTTCGCATTACACTGATGTTATTTGTTTGTTAACCCCGCACTCAGCAATATTCCAGCTATGACGGAGGTCAGTAAATAGTCTGGACCAGACAATCCAGTGATTAGCATCCATGTACACAATTGGGATAAAATGACTGACAAACAGCTCGGTGAGCCTCACCACCCGATCCCGTTAGTCGCCTCTTACAAGCATGGGCTGGTGAAGACCTATTCTAACACAATGTTCACGGGTCATTGTGAAGGTAATCAGTGTTACCTACATGCTGTGGGAAGTACAAGGAAGCAGTGTTTGGTCAGCAAGTTAAAAACATCTCGTATGCAGAAGCGACTCATTCAAGGTCATTTCTGGTACGTACACTGAACCGCAAAAGTAACGTCACCATGGATTGATATATGAGAAACCTTATTTCTCCAAACACTGTAAACATACTTTGGCAAAACTTATCAAGGTTGAAATTAAAGTGTCAAATGTTCTAAGTGTAGGAGAAACCATGTCTCCGAGGGATTACTAGAGATTGTAAACCCTCACATGAGGGAACGTTCCCGAATGTGAGGGTTTACAATCTCTAGTAATCTCGAGGAGACATGGTTTGTCCAACTTATCAACCGACTCATCACATAGACAACGTTTTTAATTAAATAACTAATAAAAACTCTCATATGTATAACCTTTTTTGGAGATGAAATATCGCCTGCAGTCGTGAACTCGGTTCAATGAAACCGGTGACCTCAGCACGTAGATTTCGCAACGGTGCGAAATCTGCACGTGCGTCTCGCAATGGCACGAAATCTGCACGTGCGTCTCGTAGGCTTTTTGTAGTTTTTGTTCTATCAAGGGTTTACAATGATTCTGCTGGAGGAAGTCCCTTGATGCTCTCGCAGTGTGGGCACGGGCGTTATCATGCTGAAACTCTTGGTTGCGGCGACGTGCCAAATGAGGTATGGCGTGTGGTCTCAATGTACCGAGCTGCTGTGACACCATTGTTTCTCCCTGGACCGATGTTCTGGAAGACCACAGAGCCGACCCTCTGTGCAAGACCAATTCCACCCCACACCATGATGCTCGGACCACCCCACGAGTCTCTCAGCACAAGCATCCGACTAACGTTCCCCACGGCGTCGCCAGACTCTGCCATCTGCTGTTGAGATACAGTAACGGCTCTCGTCTGAGAAGAGGACTCTTCTCCACTGCTGTTGGTGCCAATGCTGGTGATGTGTTGCCCAGTGAAGACGGTCCCGTCGATGACGTGATGTCAGAATGGTCCTCGGTGTGACATGTGACAGTGGAGGTATCTGCTTGTCAATCGTCGACGCATAGTGTCCACACTAATGTGTCGCTGGTGTGTCCCCATGGACTGTCGAGCGGTTTCCGCAGCAGTAACAAAGCGATCTTGAAGATGCTATCGCACAATCAAACGATCCTGACGTCGGGTGGTTCCCCTTGGTCCTCCACTACGTGGTCTGTCATCCGTAGTGTTTGTGGTCTGGTACCGTTGCTGGAGCCTGCATATATGGTCCTTACGTGGACTTGAGATCGTCCAAGGGCTTGGTGTCGCTGATTTCTTGTCAATCTTCGAATGTAGTAGCATACAATATCGAATGAATGTTATCCGATCTGGGTGGATTTTTATAGGGCAAGAAATGGAGGAACGCATGTGCATTTCAATTTGCACGGAATTCACATGCATCGGGTTACCATGGCCGTTGCCGTGATGCGTTTGGGCGAACGGTTTTATTGCCAACTGCTTTGTTTTAATCATCAAATTTCATGTTTTCGGAAAAGGTAATGTTAAATTTTCGTAACTATGACAAAACATACCCAGATATTTAAATGACAACTTTTCATGCAATGTTCGTTGGGGTGACGTTTCTTTTGCGGTTCAGTATATAAAGATATAGGGAGACAAAGGATCACCTTGTCTGCAACCCCTAGATATTTTGCAAAATGGGTATCCAAAGCCATTAACTATACACCTCGTCATAAATATCGCACCACACGTTTTAAAGTAAAAGTAGAAAATATAATTTTCGTTTTTTCAAACTACAAGTACATATACTCACACGCAAAAGAAATGCAAGTCGAGTATGCAGTTTACATGTTATTTATTTTCAACAGTAAAGACAAGAAATACTCATAGGGCAAGATTGACAAAAAATTGACTGAAGACAGTTTAATTGATTAAACGGCAGATGACATAATTGTTGTTTTTTCAAATGTTAAGGGCTTACACAGTTTCGGGTCAATACCCAAAATGTCAGTCAATACCTGGTGTGACCATCATTAGCATTGATCACTGCCACACATCTCCTGTACATTGAGTGGATCAGACGATTTGTGAAGGCCCTAGGGATCCTCCTGCACACATCCAGAGCAGCTATGCGTAGTTCATTGTGCAGACGCCTTTGAACCTCATCCCACAAGTATTCGATGGGGTTCAGATCAGGGCTGAGGGCTGGCCACGGTAGAACACGGATGTTGTGTTTTTGCAGAAAGGCCATGGTAGCTCTGGCAACATGGGGACGAGCGTTGTCCTGCTGGAAAATGTGTTGTTGATGTAGTCCAAAACATGGAACAACGTGGGGTCTGATCACTTGGTCGATATACCGCTGAGCAGTGACGCCGTGTCCCCGACCTTGACCAACATTCAGAAAGCACATGGGTCCAAGTCTCGCATTAAGTCCAATCCCTGCCCATATCATGACGCTAGATCCACCCCATGGATCCCTTTCCACAACGTTTCTGTCAGCGAAACGATCACCTCGACGCCGCCAAATTCTGACTCTTCCGTCTGCATGGGAGACACAAAAGCGACTTTCATCAGAGAAGATGACACGCCTCCACTCACGATGACGCCAACTGCGATTACCCTGTGCCAACTGAAGTCGTGCTTGTCGATGTCGTGGTTGGAGAACAGGACGACGTGCTGGTCGGCGACATCTGAGGTTGTTGGAACGGAGACGTCGGATCACAGTGCCCCGGCTAATGTGTCGATTATGTGTTCCTATGGTCTGTCGAGCACTTTCACTTGCAGTTAGGAACGGATGTCGCTGGTGTTGACGGGTAATCTGCCGATCTTGTCGAGGTGTGGTGACCCTAGGACGACCGCTCCGAGGAAGGTCATCTGTGGTCTGTGTAGCATTGTATCGATGCAGGAGACGGTAAATTGTGGTTATGTTAACGTTGAAACGACGGGCAACATCTTGGACAGACTCTCCAGCTTCCAAACGTCCGATAGCCTGGTTTCTCTGAATTTGAGTTAGGCGTGGCATTGTTGACCAAGGAGTGGTAGGTCCAAGAATCGGCTACAATTTTATACCCACTACAGTTCGTGCATTTTCGATTTCGCGAGAAATGGGTGCATGATACCCACATATTCATTGAAATGGTGCGTTATAGCGATTCGTTTTTTATGTTGCGTTTTTACTCGGGGCTTCCAAAATGCAACCAAATATATTGATAACACCATCAGGCTTCACTTCATGCTGAAACTCGTATCAATTTATTGTTCCGTGTTTGTTACCTATTTGCTTAAAACCACTTGCGTTTCTTTTGCGCGTGAGTATATTTCATATACTACACCATCTGTGAACATAATATCACAAACACACCCTTTTCCGAGCTGCACGTGCATGCTTGCGTTGAGCATGCTTGTACCGGGGGTCGGTTTGCTGAAAATGCAGTATGCACATAGCCTCTTTTGGCGTATGTTATGTTGGCAGACACAGTTAAAATTTGGTTTTAGGCATAAATTAAGCTTTATTTTGACCAACCAGTGAAAAGCCCAAGTGTCCAGTGCCTCTGAACCAAAGATGGCAAATTATTGGTATGCACCAGACTGGTATGTCATGTCGTGCTATTGGAGCACAACTGAACATTAATCACACTGTCATCAGCAGGCTAATACGTAAGCATACTGCTTCCGGTGAAGTGAAGGATGCACCGAGGTCTGGACGTCCCAGAAAAACCAATGACAGGGAAGATCGTGCTCTCGTACGCCAAGCCAGACGAAGCCCAAAGTCTACTTGTACACAGCTGCGACATGGATGGCATCCATACAACAGAGTGTCCATCAGCACCATCAGACGACGCCTAAATTATGCAGGATTGAGAGCAAGACGACCAATCAGACGTCCACTCCTGACAAATCAGCACCACCATGCCCGTTTAGCCTGGTGCCAAGCACGTGCTCGCTGGAACCTGAGGACATGGAGAAGGATCCACTGGTCCGATGAAAGCAGATTTTTGCTGCATCATACAGACGGAAGGGCAGGAGTTTGGAGGCAGGGAGGCACAGCATATGATCAGAGGAATATTCAAGCTGATGTTCCATTAGGGGGTGGATCCGTCATGGTGTGGGGGTGTTGTTCCTACGATTGTAA